TGGTAAACTCCATTTCTTGTCATATTTCTAAAACTTGGCATCTCTTTATCCATGGCTGATTTTTGTTGCTGATAATAGCAGTAGAAAATCCTTTATGTTAGGCCAGGGACTCTTAAACCATGTGTGATGGAAGGGGAAATGTGCAGCAGCTGAGTAAGGTATGCTCCCCCAGGTGATGAAACCTGTTCAGTGGTTTTCGTTATAACCACGTGGTGCCTTTTTTAGGCCATGGCATAAATTCAAGTGGGTTTGGGCATGCATACTTCATTACGAGAGAGAGGCAGCGAGTGGAGCTCTGACTGAGCTGCCATGGCAGCACTGCATCAAGTTAAATTCTGCATTTGTCAGCTCTTACATATTAGGTAGGTACAGATCACTCCAGGGCCTGATTTGGATCACTGGTACCATTGCAGATCTCTTTATAGAGATTCTAGAGGAGGAAGCAGCTAAGTAAACTGATTATTTCCCTCTTTCTTGCTCTACAGCTTCTTAGTAAGGAGCTTAACTGAAAGGGCAGTGTGTACAAGTTTTCCTTAACGGAATGGGGCGTTACTGGTGTGCGGCACAGAAAGCATGCAGTCATATCACACAACTGCTGTGAAATTCAGATACAAGCCTTAACCTTTCCCAAGGTTAAGCAGCTGCAGGTGGCAGCTTGGGACTCAAGAACAGAAAAGCCTGCTCCTCTCTTTATTTGTTGTTTTTTTTAATAATGAGTAGCTTATTTTGGGGGTGCTGGCTGCCCACCTGTAAGTGCAGAGCGCTGACTCCAGGGGAGCTGCTGCCCTGTGGGGGGGCACACAGGCACTGAACAATCCAGTGCTTGTATACATTGAATTCCCAGGGGTGGCTGAAGTTCCTGGAGCAAGTCTCCTCTTGCTTAAGAACAAAAAGCCTTGTGGTGCATTTAACTTAACTTCAGAAGCTGTTTCAGCATTAGTGGCAGTTGCTGGTTCTGCTGCGTGCCTTGTTTGTTTTGTTACTCACTGAGCCCTCATCTGACTGCAGTGTGCAGGTGGGGCTAATGGAGGTGCGAGCAGAGCGTGCTTCCCTGGTGAGTGCAGAGGCTTTCTGTGTGTGCAGAAGCCATACGGTGTGCCTGGTGCTCTGGATGTCCTTAATGCTGTCCTCCTGGAACTGTATTTCAGTTTGGAAGTAGAGGATGAAAATAATGATTCAACTGGAGTTCTGTTTTTTCCTTCCTCAGGTCAAGAGTAATCTGAATCCAAACGCAAAGGAGTTTGTTCCTGGGGTGAAGTACTTAAATATTTGAGTAGACTGGGCCCTCTTTTGGTGGATGTAGCACAATTTCCACACTGTGAAGCCAGTATTAGAAGATTTAATTGTAAAAGCTCTCTCTTCTTGTCACTGTGTTACACTTATGCATTGCCAAAGTTTTGTTAGTCTTGCATGCTCAATAAAAAGTGCTGAGACTGTTACTAAGTAAATCTGTCAAAAGTTTAATGGAAACATAATTGGGCCCTGGCTCTCTGCAAAGGAGACAGTGAGGTAGGAAGCACCAGTCAAGTTGAGACAAAGTACCACATTTATGAACCTTCTGCAGACTCTGTCTTTTTAAGTAGGACTTGGAATTTGCTTTGGATGGTCTGTTTTTAACTGAAGATGTGCTAACTGGTGCTGGTTCGCACCTGATAATGCCTTAACTTTAAAATGGAAGCAAGGTGATCTGATTGTTACGCAGATTAGCTAACTTTCTTTGAATTATCAGTATTGTTACTAATGTTACATTTTCCCCTTAAAAATATATATATATTCATGCTTCTTTTGAGCAGCCTGAGCTGTAACAGAAACCGTACAGACCTGCACAGAGTCATAGATCTCAGCTACTGAACTGACATCCCGGCGGTGGGGAGGAAGGGATTCCCTGTGCTCGCAGTATGTTACCATGTCAGCAATCTTTCACTTCCTAATTATGTTACAGGACATGTGAGTTTCATCACAGTTTCTTCCAAGAGCCCACATGCGGACATAGCAATGTCTGTGTAACTTTTAGCGTACAACTTTATTATAGCTGGATTTAACCAAGCAAACCCTAGCATTAGTGATTTGAGTGGTGCTTTTCCCTTGCTTTGTTTAATCATCACTACACAATAGTCTACAGCACAACGACTTTTGTTTTTGTTTTGTTTTTTTTTTTCTTTTAATAAAGCTAGAACAGTTTTGGCTTCTTAAACTTCATACTTGGGTAGGTTAAGCTGCCATACGTGTTCAGTGTGAATAGTGTTTAAGTTGAAAATATTGTAAAAAAATTATATTTTTTCAAAAATATTTAAAAAAATAAATAATAGTAGAAATGATTTGGTGACTGTCTCGTGAATGTGCATCTCAGGGAAACGTATTCCTCCTCCTGCCTAGAGGGGTTGTGGAGTTTCCTCTGGAGATACCCAGAGCCTGGATGCCTCCCTGCGCAGCCTGCAGTGCCAGAGTTTGGACTGGGGCATCTCCAGAGGTCCCTTCCAGTCTCTGTGGTTCTGTGTTCATGTCAGATATGGTGTCTGTAAGGCTGCTTGTGGCAGGATAGTCCGAACCGATCTCAGCTGGGGCTCTGACTGCTTTTCCTTCCCTTCCTATGAAGCCTGACTGCTTTGTGTGTTTGCCTGAGCATATTTTCCTGCGTTCTCATCACTGCTAATCCCTGTTCAGCCCCACTCTTTTGGCAGCACAGGAAGTTCCAGTTAGCAGCTGACGGCGCTATATAAAACCCACTGCTTGACACGGGCTTTGGGGGGCCCTGGCTGGGCAGCTGGAGCTGGGTGCTCTCAGTCATAAAGCCCCAGAGCTGCAGGATGGGGTGATGTGCCAGCAGCCCCTGGCAGCCTGCAGGTGGGGCCTTGATCCACTCTTGCATCAGAACTTTGCCCAACCTTCCTGTTAATATATACATATATATATATATATATATGGGTTTTTTTTCCTCTTAAGCTCTGGGTAAACCAAATGGGAACACCTCAGAAATCACAAAATCACAGTGCTGTACAGCAGGAAGAGAGGCACTGCCTTTGCACCAGTAGTACAGCAGAACCAATTTGCTTTGCCAGTCTTCTCCAGCTGGCAAATCTGCTCTCCCAAAGCATTCACATGTGCTGAGTGCTGCTCTGCAAAGCACCCATCTCATCTCCTAGCTTCCCTGGCCCAGAGCTGCCTTTTCCTTTCCCAGATCTGCTGACCTTCCCAGATGTAGCAAAACTCTTCTGGTGTTTCTGCTGTTTTTGGAAACTGTTTAAGTTCAAGTTCCCAAACATGGGTTGGGGAATAGCAGAGCACCACATACAGCTGACTGGAGCTGAAGCTGGGGTTCCACCAGAGTCCCTGCAGGGCTGGCAGCTGGTTTGCTTGCAGCCCTTGTCCCTGAGCTCTGGGCGTTTGGCAGCTGAATGCTTCAGTTGGAGCCAGCTTGCGAAACACCCAGGCTTGCTGTGATTTGCTTTTGTGCTTTGTTCTTATCCCAGGCAACTCCATAACATAGAAGGGTTTATTGGAGAAGTGAATGCAGTGGTGGTGTCTGCTGGGGGCACGTAGCTGGCATGTAGATGTCAGTGGGAAGGTGCTGAAGGGCTCTGCTTCCAGCCAGGAGCTCAACCCCAGATGAGGAGTTTGGAATGATCCCTGGCTCTGTGTCAGTTTGTGCTCAAATCAGCGCAGTGAAACAAAGTAGTCAGCCCCTGGCTCTTAGGAACTGCTGGCTTTGAATTGTTTCGTGTCAGTGCTGTGTTTGCCTGGGACAGTTATCTTTCTCTGCAGCTCTCCCAAGGGTGCTGTGTTTGGGTTTGTGGCTGAAGCAGTGCTGATAATGTTGGGGTCTGGCTGTTGCTGGTGCAGCCCAATTGGTGGGAGGGCTCTTCCGTTACTGAGCCTGCTGGGCACCAGTGCGCCCATGGGAGGAGACAAGTGATTGCATTTGATTGCTCAGATCTTCATGTTGTTGGTTATCTCCCTCCTGTTCCTTCCTTCACTTATTATTCACTTATTTTTTCACTGAGAGGGTGGTGAGGTGCTGGCACAGCTGGGGAGGCTGTGGATGCCCCATCTCTGGAGATGTTCAAGGCCAGGTCGGATGAGGCTACGGATAAACTCACGTAACATCTGACCTAAGGGCTGGCAGGCCTTCCTGATGCAGGGGTTTGGAACTTGGTGATCCTTGAGGTCCCTTCCCACCCAAGTCATATGATTTTATGATAAACCATCCTTATCTTCTCCCATGAGATCTCTTTCGCTCTTTGTGCTCTTCTGCATGGGGTGGGGAGGGAGGGAGAGGCTGCCTGTGCCTGGCTGTGTCAGAGCTGCGTCAACCCAGTGCTGCCTTCAGCTTTGGGTTTCAGCATTAAACCCGGTGTCAGAATCATAGAATCACAAGGTTGGAAACGACCTGCAAGATCACCTAGTCCAACCCCCCTCCCATTCCTATCAGTACCACAAGCACTAAACCATCTCTCGTAGCTCCTCATCCAGGCGCCTCTTGAACACCGCCAGGGATGGCGACTCCACCACCTCCCTGGGCAGCCATTCCAGTGCCTGACCACCCTTTGAGAGAAAAAGTTTCTCCTAATATCCAACCTAAACCTCCTCTGGTACAACTTCTGGCCGTTTCCTCGGGTCCTACTATTTGCCTGGGAGAAGAGGCCAGACCCTTTTGCACCACAATCTCCCTTCAGGAAGTTGTAGAGTGCAATGAGGTCTCCCCTGAGCTCCTCTTCTCCACACTGAACAATCCCAGCTCCTTCAGCCGCTCCTCACAGGACTTGTGCTCCAGACCCCCCACCAGTTTCGTTGCCCTTCTCTGGACACGCTCCAGGGCCTCAATGTCTTTTTTGTAGTGAGGGGCCCAAAACTGAACACAGTACTCGAGGTGCGGCCTCACCAGTGCTGCGTAGAGGGGGATGATCACCTCCCTGCTCCTGCTGGCCACACTATTTCTAATGCAGGCCAGGATGCCGTTGGCCCTCTTGGCCACCTGGGCACACTGTCAGAAATGACAGGGGCCGTGGGTTTGGATTTTCTTTAATGCATAACCTTAAAACGGACCGCTCCGATTGCTGGACCCGGTGCAGCACCAGCTGCATCTGCTGTGCGGCCCTGCAGGAGCCAAGGGCACGGCGCAGCCTGGTGGTCCCGGCGCCTCGATGGAAGCTGCTGAGCCGCAGCAGGGCTTTGAGCGCGTCTCAAGGCAGCGTGGACTGAGGCCGGCACCTGGGAGCCCTGCTGTCACGGCAGCCCCACGCTAAACCAAGCCAATGCCATTCCCACAGGCAGCGCCTTCCCCCGGCGCTGCGTTGGGAGCGGAGGGCTCGCAGCCCGGGCGGTGCTCTGTGATGGGAGCCCAGCGCTTGGCTCAGCCCCTCCGCAGCCGCCGCCGTCACACCTTGGTGCAGACAGCCGTCCCGTCGGCGCCGTCCTGCGCGCCGTCATCTGCCGCGTGGCTCTTCTTTGCCCGCCAGGCAAAGCCGGTGAAGAGCGGGCAGATGGGCACGTGCCGCAGCCAGCGGCTCCTCCTCACCGCGCTCATCCCAAAGGGGAAATCGTAGCTCCTCAGATCGGCTGAGGCCGTGCTGTCTGCGTGCGCACCAGCCTTCCACTGCACCAGTCCCCGCTCCTCCCGTGTCCCTGTGAGCAGGCGCAGCTGCTGTGTGCTGGGATGCCCACCCCAGCCCCGCGCCCGGCCCGCTGCACGTACCTGGGATGGTGTTGTCCAGGATGAAGGCCAGGGTGCCTCCCACAAACATCTCGGTGGTCAGCAGTACCGTCAGGATCTGGTCCAGCTCGGGGACGCCTGCGGGAGGGACAGGCTGAGCGGGACAGGGAGTGCAGGGATGGGAAGCACGGGGCTCATGGCGTGTGCTGCCTCCCACGCCGGGCACATGGTGTTCAGAGGTGCCGCTGCCCACTCGCAAGCTCTCCTGTGCTGCTTTGAGGTTCACTGAGCTGCATCTTAGAGCTGCCTTCCCAACTTCAGTCACATTTGCCCTACAAGTGCACTTACCGCTGCAGGTTTGCGAGCAGAGCTGCGTTAAGGTGCACGGACTGAGAGATCTGCCCTGCTCGCCCTAAGCACCTTCACACCAGGATGCTGCTGGCAAATAGTGTGAGGGGCTCCTGGTACCTGTGTCGATGGACTTGGGGTGGGCATCCAGGTAGTTGGGCAGCGTCAGCCCAAAAAACATGGAGAAGCCCAGCACAAAGAGGTTGCGGGAGGAGTTCATGTCAACGAATTGCAGGTTGGAGAGGCCGACGGCCGTGATCATGCCTGCAAGCAGAGATGTGGCCAAGTGCTGTGGGAGCTGCAGTGCTGTAGGACAGGACAGTCCTCAGTGCAGCTCCAGTGCCACCCCCTGCTCCCTGTGCAGTGCAGTTACCAAACAGCGTGCAGAACATCCCGCCAAGGATGGGGTCGGGCAGCGAGGCGAACAGCGCGGTGAACTTTCCGATGGTGCCGAGGATGAGCATGATCCCAGCGCCGTACTGAATCACCCTCCTGCTCCCCACCTGCACGGGGGGACGCAGGCAGTGCGTGGAGGTGGCTGTGACCCCCTGGGGATGGGGAGCGCGCAGATCGGGGGGTACCTTGGTGATGCCCAGCACCCCGATGTTGGGGCTGGAGGAGGTGGAGCCGTTACCGGTTCCCATCAGCCCTGCGATGATGCAGGAGATGCCTTCTGTGAAAATGCCCCTGGGGGATGAACAGAGGGTGCCGTTCCCTGCGGCGGCTTTGGAGATGTGCCCAAGGTGTGGGGGTGTGCCGGTGGGGAGGAGGTGGCCCTGCACCACCGGGAAGTGGAAGCGTGAAGCAGCCATGGGCACAGAATGGGAGCCAGGCGCAGGCAGTGGGGTGCTGCCGGGGTGCAGGGTGATGTCCCCATCCCCGCAGCATTGCCATACCTGTTGATGGCGTGCACCGGGGGTGCAGGCGCTCCTGACAGCCGCGCACAGGAGTAGTAATCCCCGATGGACTCGATGATGCCGGCCAGCGTGGCACTGAACATGCCCAGCACGGCTGCTGATGTCACTGTAGGCAGCCCCCACTGACCTGAGGGGAGCAGCACCGCCATGGGGCTGTGCCACCACCTTGGGGTGTGTGCCTCCGGTGAGGCCGTGCCCACTCCCTGCCCGTGTCGCCGTGGGTCACTCACAGGGGTAGGGGAAACGGAACCAGGGGGCCACCGAGAGGATATTCCCACGCGCGTCCGTCCGGGCCTTGTAGCCGTACTCCTCAGGGTTGCTGGGGAGCACGTCAGTACGTGTCAGCACGTAGCAGAGCAGCCACATCACCATGATGGCCAGGATGATCTGCAGGCAGCGATGGGGATGTGTGTGTGTGGGGGGAAACCCACAGCAGTGCTCCTCAGCGCCTCCCCAGCCCCATCCCTACAGGGAACATCTTGAAGATCTGCACACGCAGCAGGACGAAGCCGTGTCCCCAGCGGAACCCGGGCAGGCGCACGGTGACGTTCCGCAGGTACTGCGCAAAGAGCACGATGAGAACGATGGACCTGCGGAGAGCAGAGGGCCCTGAGGACGCCAGGGATCACCAGGTGCCTCCGGTGCCACCCGCAGCGTTGGCACAAGGGCCTGAAAACCATCCACGTGCTCATCGTGGTGCCGTACAGCGCAGCGATGCCCCAGTGCGAGCCGGCCCGATCACCAGCAGCCTGGAAGACGGAGAGGCCGATGAGGGACACGGTGGGGGTGACGGTGAGCGGCCCGATGTAGTTGAGCAGCGCGCCGGGCAGCCCCAGCAGCCCGATGAACACTTCCACCAGGCTGGACACCACGATGGCCCCCTGGATCTGCGGGGTGACACGTGAGCTGATGCGGGGCGGCATTGGGGCCACACGGGGCAGGGCTGGGCTGTACCTCCCGCATGCGGGGCTGCCAGATGTGGGAGGTGTTGAGCGGCAGCACCCAGTTGCCATAGATCTGCTCTGGGGATGGAGAAGGGAGGAGGTGAGCGCTGGGATGGCGGGCAGCGTGTCGTGCTGCCATCGTGTCATTCTGGTTCTACCTTCAGGTGGGCACTGCCACTTCTCCAGTGCCAGGATGGCCTTGGCGGGCACCAGGAAGGCCAGCGCGCTCGCCTGGAACAGCGGCAGCCTGCGGGGTGGGAGGGTTGGCTGCAGCCCTTGGGAGGCATGTGGGCCGGGGGCAGCAGTAGCGGCCCTACCTGATGCCCACGGTGGTCTGGATGAGGGTGGTGATGCCGACGCAGGTGAAGATGGTGCCGATGAGGTAGCTGACGGTCAGCTGGTCCTTGCCCACGCACAGGCTCTCAGCCAGCAGGAAGGGCACGGCGATGGTGCCGCTAAAGCAGGTCAGGTAGTGCTGGGGGGGCAGCGGTGGGGGGGCTCAGAGGGGAGCCGTGGGAGGCTCTGGGGATGTGGGGGCTGTGCCGTACCTGGAAGCCCAACAGGATGCAGAGATACCAGGGGGGCACGTCCTCGATTTGGTACAGCATGTCAAACTGCCGCCGGGCCGGGGGAGGGCCAGGGTCTGCCACGGGGCCCTGGGGAGGGTACGGCTGAAGGGGAAGCGCTGAGCCCGCTGCCAGCCCCGGGGGGCTTAGGGACAGGGATGGGGGCAGTGCTCACCCTGCCTGCCCCGGGGGGGCGCTGAGGGTCAGAGGGGGGGAGGGCCGGGGTGGTGTCCTGGCGGCAGAGAGAGGCAATGGGTGGATCGGTGTTGTGCCGGGTGTGCCATGGGAACCCGGCTGCGGCCTCCTGGGGACATGGGGACACCGCCCGGCCACCCCCGCAGGGCTCTGGGCCCCTGGGTGCTGCCCCAGGGGGCCCAGTGTATGGTGGTGGGGTCCCCGCTGTCCCCGTGGCAACCGTAGCACCCCACAGGTGCTGTGTTCCAACCGCAGCGTCCCACCACTTCCCTGGTGTGTCCCCTGGGCCTCACCCCCCTTGGGCTCCCCCCACCCTTTGCCATCCCGAGGTGCTGTGTCCCTCCCCACCTGCCCCCTCCCCAATGCCCTATGGGGACGGGTGAAGGGGTCGGGGTCAGAGCCGCGGTCACCTGGGGCTGGGGCAGTTCTCCCGAGCGGGTTCCCATCCTGGGCAGTGCAGGGATGTCACCGCGCGGTGGCTTATATTGTGCCGGGGAGGACTTTACTCTGCGGGTTGTGAAACCAGGGAGTGTGGTGGTGGTGAGGGATGAGCGATTAACTGCTTTAATTAGGGCTGGCACCGCCGCCCACGCCACTTTGGTCAAACATTAAGGTGGAGGGTTACAGAGTAACAGCAGGATTGGGGCACGGGTGCCACTGGGGATGTCCCCACGAGTGCAAACAGATGCGGAGCTGGGATGGCGGCAGCAGCAGCCCGGCGTCCCCGGCATGGTGCCGGCAGTGCCACCTCCCTCGGCGTCCCCTCTGCGTGTGTCCGGTGCTGCAGTACGCGGTTGGCTCCAAAGGTCGTCAGGCATTAAGCATTAACCATCCACAGTGACGGCACATGAAGGCCGCTGGCTACAGCTCATTCTGCAGTGCCTTGGGGGGGGCCGAGCCCCCTGCCTTGGACCCCCCCAGGTGGGTGCACGGCCCCTTCTTGCCGTGGCACAGCAGCTCCCGCAGAGCGGTGGGACCCCGTCGGTGCGCTCCATACAGCTGCTCCTCGCTGTGCTCGCCCACAAGGCTGTGGCACATCTTGGCCAGCCTGCAGGCAGTGGGAAGCGTCGGGATGTGGAGTGTTCCCGTGTCCTCCCCCATCCCTGCAGTGCTCACCTGCCCGGCCACGGCCCCCCCATCACTGCCACGCTCATTGCCTCCTGTCCTGGCAGGCCCGGCCCCATCAACCGCCGCTCTCCTCTCAGCTCCTGCACGCGGTAACTGCAGGGGGACGTGAGGTTGGGGTCTGCTCCCACGGCCCAACCACCCACTGCACTCTGCGGAAGGGTTGCACCACTCACAGCTCCCAGTCCTGCGAGCAGCTCTGCTCCAGCACCTCCATGTAGTCTGACTCGCTCAGCGCCTTCCTGCCCTGCTTCGCCTCCGCACGGCTCAGCCGCCCCTCCAACTGGGGCAGGAATTGAGGAGAAAGTGACCATGATGTGGCCATGACCCCCCTCTCCATGAGCCCTGACCCCTCTAAAAGCAACACCACCCCTCTCCGTGCACCACAACCTCTCTCCATGTGCCATGACACCTCTGCATGTGTCACAGCCCCTCTCCATGCACCGTGACCCCGCTCCCAACCCAGTGCCCCCCTTATCCGCCCTCCAGCAGCCAGAAGCATTTGACACAGTGCAGAGCTGCTGGTGGATGTTCCCCCGCACCTGGAAGGCGATGGCGTGGCACGCATCACAGCGCAGGGCTTCAGGCATGTGGGGCGAGAGCCGCTCCTCAGCACTCATCTGGGGCGCAGGGATGCTGTGGGATGCGGATGGGGCCTCAGGGTCCCCACAAGCGTTCTCGGCCCCCGTTCTTGCTGCCAGGCTGAGGGCCACACACAGCACCAGCACTGCCTGCATGCTGCTGCCCTGGCACTGCTGAGCCATGCTGGAAGCAACAGGGGCGGGCACAGGAGGTATCAACCCCGGGCACCCATGCGCGGCCGATGCACCTGCATCCGGCTGACGCTCTGCGCAGCTGTCCAGCCCTCAGTTATGCTTTGTGGTTTAATTCAGAATTCTGGTTTGATTCAATCCTGCCATGCCTACACCGCCCTCCCCCAGACCCTCCCTGTGAGTGGCTCACCTCCTCCTCCTCCTGGGCTTGTGACCCCCAACCCCACCAGTGCACCATCACCGTCTGCAGTGCCCTGAATGTGCCCTGAAAGGAACATCTGTGCCCCCTGTGTGCCCTTTACAGACAACGCAGACACGGAGGGGTTTGTAGGGTTAATGTTGGCCCAGCACTTTTATTGCTATTTTCAGGAGTCTGTGCTGTGGCTGCGCTGCCTCTGTTCATCACCCTTGGGATGGGAGCAGCAGGATGGGGGCAGTGGGGCCATGCACATGGCCCCTTTGCTGCTGCAGCCACATTCCCACAACTTCAGGAACCTTCTGGGGCACTTTTCCCCATCCTTCTAGGAGCCAGTCAGGCCCAGGCAGCGCCGAACACCGGCTCAGCCACAACCACGACGTGGCTGTGGGCACGAGGTTCCTACAGCCAGGGCTGGGGGCGATGTGGGCTGGCACTGCATTTGGGGATCACAGCGGGGGCAGTGGTCCCTTCTCGGTGCTGGCAGGGCTGGCACGGGCTGGGGGCTGGCTGGGGCTGGGGCTGGCCCGCATCCCTGTGGGGATGTAATAGGGGCTCTCCAGGTATCCACAATCAGGACCCCCAGCTGCAGGTGGCCCCTCACCCTTAGGATCGGGGCTGAAGGTTCCGGGGAAGCCCCCAGGGTTTTCGGAGGTCGGTGGCTGACCCTGCAGGTCAGGGTGTGCCGGGGAGGAGGCAGTGGGCAGCGGGGCTGCTGGCAGCCCTGGGAAGCTGCCATAGGGCATGTAGGGTGTGCCATAGAGCATGGGGTTGAAGGGAGCATGGTAGAATCCAGCGTGTGAGGCCACGGGCACCGGTGGGATGAGCACCTCCATGTACTGCCCTGTCTCCGGGTCGTAAAGTGTTTTCAGTTGGGGCTGCCGTGGTGCTTCCATGTAGTAGCATTTTCCACTGTCGGGATCAACGAGCATCTTGCGGTGTGCGGAGGGGTGGGGAGCAAAGGGCCGTGTGGGGCTCGGTGTGCTCTTGCTGCTTGGCGAGGATCCCTCGGTCCTCCGGGGAGCGTCTTCCATGTGAGGTTGGGGCTGGGCTGGGGGCACAGCAGCGGCCAGAGCATCAGAGGGCTGGGGGGGCTCAGGGAGGGGTTTGCTCCATGGGGCTTCCCCATCGGGATGGGGGGACACAGCAGTCCCCAGAGGAGCACTGGCCGGGCTGGGAAATAAGGGAGACCCAAAGGAAGATCTGGCCACGTTAGATATTGACGGGTACCCAAGGGAAGTAGGGTCTGGGTTGTTGGCCATGGGGGTCCCAAAAGATGAGCTGGCTGGCACGGGGACAGAGGGGGTCATAAAGGGTGTGCTGGATGGGTTGGGGACCAAGGGGGCACCAAAGATTGAGTTGAGTGGCCTGGAGAATGGAACAGTCCCAAAGGACATCATGGCTGGATTGGGGACCAAGGGGGTTCCAGAGGATGAGCTGGCCCGCTTGGGGACAGAAGGAGATGTAAAAGGTGTGCTGGATGGGTTGGGGACCAAGGGGGCCCCGAAGGATGAGCCAGCTGGGTTGGGGACCGAAGGGGTTGCAAAAGGTGTGCTGGGTGGATTGGGAACCAAAGAGGTCCCAAAGGCTGAGTTGGGCAACCTGGGGACTGAAGCGGTCCCAAAGGATGGAGTAGCTGGACTGGGGACCAAAGGGGTCCCAAAGGGTGCACCCAGTGGGTATGGGAACAACGGCGTCCCAAAAGAGGAGCTGGCTGCACTAGGAACCAAAGGGGTCCCAAGGGATGTGCTGGTCAGGCTGGGGACCACAGGGGTCTCAAAAGATGATGGGTTGGGGACCATGGAGGCCCCAAGGGATGCACTGGCTGGACTGGGGACAGAAGGGGTCCCAAAAGGCATACTAGATGGATGGGGGACCAGTGGGGTCCCAATGGGTGCAGTGGCTGGATTGGGGACTGAAGGGGTCCCGAAGTGCGTGGTGGCCGAGTTTGGGACTGAGGGGGTCCCAAAGGACACACTGTTTGGGTGGGGGACCAAAGGGGTCCCAAAGGAGGTGGTGCCCGGGCTAGGGACCAGGGGCACCTTCGGGGAAGGTTTGGGGGCTTTCACAGGAATTGTCAAGTAGTTGGAGTTGTCTGCCTGGACAACAGTAAGGTGTGGATCACTGGCTCCCGGCCACTTAGTTACGTGCTCCACGGTCTCCCTCTGTTCCGGTGGCCTGCTGGTGAGTGGCACAGGGGGAACAGAGGGACCTTCACCAGCCTCCCTCGCTTGAAATGGCACAGTGGGGCCAGTGCTGTCTGCAGGGCCGTGGTTCCCCGCTGAGGCCAGCTGGCTGCCCGGCTGCTCACAGGTGGGTGGCTTCAGTGCACTTCTCACTGCTGGTTTCACATCCTGGACATTCCCTGGGTTGTCCCCGCTGCGGCGTTGTTGGTCCGCTCCAGCGCCGTCCCCTATGGTGACACCGTGACCACGCTCCTCATCCTCCTCTGTGGGGCTCAGTGGTGGCGGTGGGAGGAGAAGGGTCTTCTCCATCCTCAGCACAGCACTGCTCCGAGCCGGGGAGGCCTCCACAGCCACAGGCGGGGACTGAGGCCCGACCCGGACATGGAGGTGGCTCTCTACGTGTGTTTCCTCCACAGTTCCCACCAGTGACGGCACATGGATCTCACTGCGCTGGCGGCACGTGGCCGGGCCAGGCCGGGGGCTCTTGGTGGTGGCTGCCTCTCTCCGCACAGACTGCACCTTGCTGATTTGCACAGGTGAGCCCTGCACCGGGTGGCTGCTGATGGATGCCGCCGTGCCCTCGCTGCGTGCTGGTGCAGGCTCTCGGACACCATCTGTCCCCACGTCCCCACCCACAGGTGGCATGACGCTCGGTGCCGGATCGCTGCGTCGGACCGAGGTGCAGTGGATGATGAGTGGGGACGGCGGCTTGGGCTCCCCAGTGCTTTCCCTGCTGGGGCCGGGAGCCGGGGGTCCGCGAGCAGCACCAAAGCTGAGGCTGTAGCTGCTCTTCAGCAGCTTACGCACGTCCCGTGGCTGCGGCACCAGCGCCTTGCCTTTGCTGCCCGGCTCAGCGGGGGTACCCACAGCGATCCCGGGTCCCGGGGGCTCTCGGGGCGCTGGCGGTGGCTTCTCCTCCCCACGGCTCTGTGGCCCCAACCTCACATCCCGCGCCTGGGAAGTGAAGATGCTCCGGGGTGGCATGTCGGGAAGCACCGAGCTTTTGGGCTCAAAGGGGACGAGCTGGGGCCTGCTGGGGCGGATGGCTCGCTGCCTCAAGCTGGGCCACGGTTTCTGCGGCTTCTGAAACTTGGGGGTGACGGCTGGCACCTTCCCATCTCCGCTGCGGCCTTCGAACAGGGCGCGCGCTCGCCAGTAGGGAGTCCTCTCTGCGGAGGACTCGGCAGCAGGCAGGCGCTGGCACTGCACCACCTCCTGG